GGGAATGGACAGGCAAACAGGCAGAAGCTATAAACTTGCTGATTATTTCTATATGTGATGTCCCCTCCTGTGAGGCAGCATCCTTAATCTTGTCTTTCCTTAGCTTGACTCAGTCTTTTGTTCTTCACATATCACATCTATTCTTAGTTATCATTTCTCAACTTTGTCATCCTGATTCCCAGCTCTCAGTTAAATATTGAAGTCTCATTTCCTTCCTGCCCTACTTCAGGTCTAGTTTGTTTCCTTGCCCCAACCATCTCCAGTGCCTTTATGCTGACTCGTTCACCCAAGTCCCAGTTAATGCCTCCCTCTAACATCCTGTGATTATTCCCCCCATTCATTACGCAATTACTTTGTTTCCTGGACTCTCCCACTTTCTTTTTGGCTCCTCTGTTTGCTCAGTGAGTCCCAGTTCTTCCTGTGAATCCTAGCTCTTTGCCAGATTTATCTCTTCAGCCTTCTTGCTCTGACTTTACTGGTAGGTCCCTAACAGTTGTCTGCACTCCCAGAGGGATCCATGCCAGGTGATATATCATGTCTTGTGCCCCAGTACTTCGGTTAAGCTCCCTCTGTATTGTGCTGGTCTTGTCCACCCGGCATAGTACTTGGAATGCCTGCTATTTCATTCTGTAGCCTGCTATCACCCACACACCTCTCTAGCACAGAATACGTGCCACTTGCTGCTTGTGTGTATATTTGATGCTGTGCCAAAAGGCTCAGTAAAAGGGGTCATAGTCCATATACCTTGAAACCTTTGCTGAAACAGGTGCTAAACATCATACTGCTCTTGTCATTGCTGCATTTGCTGATGAGGAATCTTGGTGTCAATTGAAGCCTTGTCACTGGGCTTACTTCCACCTCCAGAATGGGATCAAGTAAGCTGTCTGTTGCTGAAAGCATAGTATTTCACAGACAGCTCATTTGATCCAGAACCAGTGGGTATGGACAAGGTTTCTTGGAGACAGGTTGATGGCTTTTCACTGGATTATAGGCCTGCTTAAATTAATCTGTCTGGGATAGAGAGAAGTCCTCACTGATAGGACTAGATTGTTATAAAACAAGGATGACCACCAGGGGATCTATATATTTCAGCTTTAAATAAAGCCCTCTGCACCCTACCTTCAAGGGCCTAGCGTTTCTGAGTCTTGCAGTGTTCAAGTGTGCTGTAAGCCGAGGGGAAGCCTGTACAGTAGGTGTCCATACTGTCTACTTGCAAATGACCAACACAAACAATGCTGAAGTTGTATAGACTAATAGCCCTTGAGCAGATGGGGAACCCGCATGGGCTGTCAGTGGAATTCATTGCCCCATTTTAACTCTTTTCTGCTCCTGGGGCTTTGCTGGGACATGCTTTCCACTAACAGACATCAGCTTACATAGAATCTGTTCAGTTTTATCTGCTGTTATCTTGAGTCATATGGTCATTTCAAGATAAAAACAACTATGGTCCAGGCTTAAGTGTCTTCTGAATGACTGCAACACTAGTGCCCCTTTGTTTCATGGTATGTGGTAGGAAAATGTGTGTGCAGCAAAGATTACCCCAAAACTCAGGTAATTCTGTTTTTAGCATGAAACATAACTTCTTGTAACTAATAGGTGTCTCCTGTGCTTCTGTTATGCTTGGCACTTCTCTCCTTAAAAATTAGTTGGACTAATATGATAAAGTTCCTGTGGTGGTTCTTCCCTGGCTGCGTACCAGAATGCATGCCTCTGTAGCAATAACGTGTTATAATTTGTCCTAATATAAACTAATTTTCAGTCAGTTCTGGTTCTGTTATGTTTGTGCAGCAACAAGTAATTTGGATTCCTTCTGCATTCTGTTTGGATCAAATAATGGATGAAGCGTTGCTCTTGTCAGTCTGCATCTGCTGTAATGCTTTGGTTCCAGACTTCTGTTTTTCTTCAAATAATGGGGCTGTTTTGCAAACAGTAGGCCAAAATTGTGAGTTTTGTGTACAAGGCAGATTTGTATACACTGTTTGGAGGATGGATTATGTTTACCTATTGATTTACAGCTGACTCTTGCACTGTGAGGGCACAGGATCAAGTGTTTAGATGTACTGATGTCTCAGTCCTCACTCCCTAGAAGAACAACTAGGAGGTTCTGAGAATCATCCTGAAAACAAGGAGGAGATAATGGCATCTAGCTCAGGGAGCAATTCCTGCAAAAGACCCTGCTCAGATGGAAAAAGGTGTCCAGAGAGACCTTCTCACAAACTCAGAAGGGTCCTTACCTCCCTGAAGAGGGAGGAAGATCCTCCCCCATCCATTAATTTTGATATGAATTTAATTTTTTTTTATTTTAGAAAAATCCTTAATTTGGAGATCTGTTTAGACTATATAGACCCTCCTTTAGGAAGGATTTTGAAGATTTCTCAACCAGTTTGATTACTCTTACCTGCTTTTGCTTCAAAAGAACTACTGTTCTGGCTGGACAGATTAAAAGCCCTGGAGGACCATAGTATTCTGACATCAGGCCTGTTCTTAAGAAAATATTCTTGGAAACAATTTCAGTGGCAATCTTTCTGTTTTAGTCCATAATTCATAGCTTAATAACATCCAGTTTAGTAGAGTGATATCACATCTAGTTACATTGCATATACTTTTCCCGATGATAGAATCTTGCTTTTGTTCATTACAAAATATTGAATGTTTCATTCAAATGGAAGCATTGTCTTCGCTTTCTATGCTATCTTAGAGGAGAGTGTAAATCTGATAACAAGTAGAAATGTCCTTTTCTTCTCATCACAGAAGGACCAAAGGAAAGATTCTGAATATATCAAAAAAGAACCATGAAACTGTGAATTGGGCAGTAAAGTCAGATTTGGTAGCTTAATTTCTGAGAGCTTACTCTGGTAAGGAAAAATGCTTTCTAGCTCAGTTTGAGTGGAGAAAGCAGAATATATTTCTTTTGGAGCAGATTTTTTCTCCCAACTGTAGGTATTTCATGAGAGCAGTAAGGTAAGAAACCTGTAGAATAGGTGCAGGTCTATAGAGGAAAGAGAGACTTCTGCAGCTCATAGCATGAAAGCCCCTCTTAGTGTTCCATCAGCTCCAAGATAGGAGTGCAAATAATAAAGTAAGCATAGAATAATTAGGATTCCTTTAAAATACACATAGGATGAATGATAAACCTGAAGATAGATTGCTTACCAGATGCCCAAAGAACCCGCTCGGTGCTTTTTCAATTGGGAAGCTTTCCATGTGATTTCATGGCCATTTGGTTTCCTGTCAGTTTTTTTTTTTTCTTTTAAACTTTTTTACTATTCTTGACAGAAAGACGTAATTCACTTGGAAGCAGATTTTAAATTTATTTTCAACCCTGCCTATGTGTATTAGTTTAGTAGACATGATCTTGGAATACCCTGTTCACCGAGAATCTAGCCAAATCTAGGTCAGTCTCTAGCAATGTGGCTATTGAGGAAGAAACAGTGGGTGTTACCAGATTACCTTCTAAAGTGGTTAGGATTTTATTGGCCTCAAAATTGATTTCTGCTCTGATGAGTCCTCCATACGATGTACATTACACTCATGTTGACGAACATAAAATAGTAAGCTTAGGCATCCTGCCTACTTGCTATTGATTGCGCCCCC